GTTTTCCCATGGTATTGTCGCCAACAAGGTTAATTGTTATTTTTTATTCTATTTTGGACACGCACGCACAGATACCCAAGGGATGAGAAATGTTTTTCGGAATGACATTTTTCATCAACCACGTGTATATGTGTGTGTGTGTGTGTGTACAGAGGGGGCGGGGAACAAATATTCGTACACATACACATTTTTAATCTATTGTATTTCCAACTAATGAATAAGCACACTTTTCATATAATTAACTATACACAGATGCATAATTATTAAATATGCATAGAAAACAGAAAAAATGATTTAATAGAAATAAAACCCATTTATCTATTTTAATTGGTGAAAAAAGTATCCGTACAATGTAAATTTCAGGTTTTAAAACTTTTAATTTGCTTTAATATTCTAGATTATTCAAGTGAAATATTCTAGATTGTTTCAATAATGTTATCAGTTGTTATTTTTAACCTAAAAAATATAAACAGAACATTCTGTAATTGATATTTGTGCAAGAAGGTTTTTATCATTGCAAGAGGTAAAGAATTGACAAATTCGCAAAAAGAACTGATTTTTAAACTCTGGAAAGAAGGTAAAAATTACAGGAAAATCTCAGACAACTTGAATATTCCATTTACTACCATTAGTTCATTCCTCGATGAATGAACTAATGGTAGTAAATGGAATAAAGACTCAAAAATGTTGAAAACCAAAGAAGAACAAGTGCTCCTCGGAAAATTTCTTCAAGATCTTCGAGGAAATTAATGCATCAAATTAAACAAAATCCAATGGTTAGGTGTCAAGAGTTACATGATGATTTGCTTTCATCAGGAATCTGTGTCACTAAACGGACAATAAGCTATGAAATTCATAGGAACAATCTAAAATCACGCTCCCCACGGAAAACTACACTGCTATTGAAAAGACACAGAGATACCAGTTTGAAATTCGTTCGTGAACATTAGAATATGGAAAAATCGTATAGGGAAAGAGTATTATGGACAGAAACCAAAATTGAATTGTTTGGGCGTAATTCTAGAAATCATGTATGGAGAAAATATGGCGATGCCTTCAAACAAAAAAACACAGTTCCAACAGTGAAATTTGGTGGTGGCAATATCATGGTTTTGGGATGTTTTTCTGCAAAAGGTGCTGGTAATATATTAGTAATATATGGTAGAAATAATGCCGCAGTATATCGAAATATTTTGGAAGCAAATTTAATGATTTCAGTTGAAAATCTTGAACTTCCTCCTGATTAGATCTTCCAACAAGATAATGATCCTAATCACACTGCAAAATTTACGAAGAATTGGCTTGCTAAAAATAATGCAAATATCCAGAAATGGCCAAGTCAGTCCCCAGATTTGAACCCAATCGAGAATCCGTGGCTTTATTTGAAAATTCAAATCCAGTCGAGAGCCCCAACAAACATCCGCAATATGAAGACCATATACGAAGAAAAATGGAACAAAATACCAACTAAAATTTGCAAATCATTAATTGAGAACTACAAGAGATTGGTTACTGTAGAAGTGAATAATGGCTATTCTACAAAGTATTAAAGAAGAGTATGTATTCTTTTTTGTAAATGGGATTTATTTCTATTAAATCAAAATTGTTTCTGTTTTCTATGTATATTTAGTTATTATGCATCTGTGTACAGTTCATTCATTAGTTGGAAATACAATAAATTAAAAATTTGTATGCGTACGAATATTTGTTTCTACCCACTATATATATATATATATATATATATATATATATATATATATATATATAGATAGATAGATACATTCACATGAGGGTCGCTCCGAAAGAAATGCCTCCTATTTTATTATGTTGTCCAGTGACGTCAGAGGTGGATGTTGGTGGTATGACAGGGAAGGTTGAACTTTACCACTAATTACCTATATTTTTTGCCTAGTAAAAGCTGTTTGACATGAATGCACATACAGAGCAGAGGTGTGTCTTTAAATACCCCAATGGAGAAAAAGAAATGTACCCATGGCATTCATCGATGCTTGTAGCGACTAAACAGGAGGAGTAAGCACAGTTAGATCGTGTGTATCAAAAAGAAAAAGTGGGTCGTTTCCGTTACTGAGGCATATTTATTTATTTATTTATTAGTATTGTTCATCCAGTAAGAGCTTTGAAACCCACTCAAGGTAGAGGGTTACTAAATGAGGTTGTTGTAAGGAAGAAAAAGGTGTATATTATGAGTATATGAAAGATAGATAATTCTTTGTTATCGGTCTGGGGTGGCATTTTTAGTGTGAGGCATCTTTTGAAAGTGCCTGAAAACCATGCCACAGATTGGCCCAAGCTTTGTGAGTTAAATTGGGTAAACAGAACTCACAGGGAGGCGTCGATGGTTATAGTAGCACAAAGTCACAAGTCATCGTGACCGAGAGTTTGATTGTGTTGACCTTGTTCAGACTGTTCATCACATTAGATAACGCGCTCTCTTCCAGAAACTGTAACTAAGTTCCGCTAAGCATAATTGCAATACAAACGACATTTGGGCTCTGTGGATGTTGAACAAACACCAATGTGCCTGACCAGGCGTCTGCAACAAGGATTGTCTAGCTGCTCTAGTAGACAGGCATTCTTGAATATGAGAGGCCAGCCATTATATATATATATATATATATATATATATATATATATATATATATAATAGAAGTAATGTATTTTTATTTATTAATCCGATAGATCTTTATCACTTTGAAAATGTTATTTTATAACGGATACTAATATTTGAGTAGACGCTACGTTTATTAAACATTATATTTATTCATTTTCATCTTATGGCCTGAATATTCGATAAATCTTATTAAATGAAAATATGCGCTCTACACAAATATGTGACTACACAAATATGAATATCTACTAAAAATAACGTTTAACGTGATTATATATATATATATATATATGGATAAATTGTCGTATGAATTACGCAATAATGAAAATAACACTGACATCTCATTTTTAACAGATATATTTACTAAAATTACACAAAACTATCTTGAAATACTAAAGAATAAATGTATTAAATAAAACCCCCAGAAGACTTCAGAATCTCTTGCAACTCTTCTGAACGTTCGCCTTGTTTAAGTTGGTGAATGGTGTCATAATCCTTGCCTCCAGGTCATTTTTGGTGTTACAGAGATATTTGTTGGTCTCTCGCCCAACTGCGCCCCACACATAATAATCAAGGTGGTTGCAGTCTAGGGTGTTAGGTGGTCAAATTCAAGGAGAGAGGTGGTCACAGATATTGTCTGACAGCCATGACTGGGTTCTCCTGTTTGTGTGACATGGTGCAGAGTCCTCTTGACAGACATAAGGTTTTACAGTAGCCACCTTCTTGACCCAGGACAGCACTAACTCATCAAGGCACTTAATATAGACCTCCGTGTTGAGTCAGAGGCCCTGTGGGAAGATGAATGGAGGCATAACATCTCCATCACTAGTGATCAATCTAAGCATCATGATGTTGACTGGATATATCATCTAAATCTTTCTGAATCCTCTGCACTGTCCTCAGATTGACACCCAGACAAACTGAAATTTTCGTACTAGAGCTTTCGGTGCGAATGCCAAACAGTACAGCATGCCGTTTCCAAATTTCTGGCGGAGTAATTTACGTCATGGTGCTCTTTTTCTCACAGACGATGCCCAGCTGACCTTACTATACTATGCAGTCAACAAAATAAAAAAACAAATAACGCGCATGCGCGAAATTAATAAATCTAAAGTTGCAACAATTTATCCATTGCACCATATATATATATATATATATATATATATATATATATATATATATATATGTATGAAATCTTGCCTTATCCAACAGTGTTATTGTGCTCCCTTTATCTTTTTGTAGCTTCCGGCAAAATACTTTAAGAGGCATTACTTTCGAAGCATCTCTCGTGTATGCGTCTCTGTATGTATGTATGTATGTATGTATGTATGTATGTATGTATGTATGTATATGTGTGATCGAATAAAAAGTAAAAATTAATACTGATCTGTCAATGAATGTGTTGTTGTATCATAGCAAGCATGCAGTTAACCTTTTAAAAAGTTTCATGTTGTGTGCTTAATTAGATAAAAGTATTGAATCAAAAGGAAAGCTAATTCTCTAACGACATCAACATTTAACAACAACAGGATTTGTAAACAGGACAAAATAATAATAATGACAACGATAATGATTATCATAATGGCGGTGTTAAGGATTACAACGGCCAAGAAACAGACAACGGCAACAAATATAGTTCCTCTTAATGATAAAACCATGTTTAAGAAAGACAACAAAACATGCACACATTTTCATACAATTTATTTGAAAAGAAAAATGTCGAGCAAAAAAGGGAAGATTTAATATCTTTGAGATTTCTGCTGACGGACTGTAAAGGCACAACACACTTACCTTTTCTTTTTTACTGGATATATCGGCAACGTTCTTACCTGTGCATTTCCCCAGAACTCTTGATAATAATTGTCTTGAATGAAATACATTCTTGGGCGTCCTTGAAACAGTTGTAAACACAATACTGTGGATGTTCTTGAAAATCATTACCGTGGTCTCAAATTTATTCCATCTCGGGTCACACTTCTCTCTCTCTCTCTCTCTACAGATTGGACAAACGCTTCCGAATATATTTCTTTGAGGAAGAACTGGAGGCTAGCAGAGGAATTTGGGACAATAGGTCAACAAAGCACTAGGTTCTGGCAATGATCAGAGAGATAAACAAAAAATCAAGAAAGATAAAATGGTCAAACTTATTCCCTTAAAAAAAAAATTTAAAAAAAAAAATCACAGCCATAGCAAGTGGATCAAAAGGATTAGGGTTCAAATGTCTCAGAGGTGGGTAAAGAGAAAGTAATATTTTTGCATTTTGCATCCAGAAATGTTATGTCCTGAAAAAAGAAAAGAACTGACCGAGCGAACAATCCTATTTTAAAAAAGCATTTAACAAATCTCTTTTTTTTTTTTAAATAAAAGGAACAACATATTTTGTGTATCTTGATGCAATTGAGAGAGAGAGAGAGAGAGAGAGAGAGAGAGAGAGAGAGAGATAAGGAAAGGGAGAAAAGGAGGGAAAAAGAGTGATAGAGAGGGGGGAGAAAATGGATTTATAGTAAAGCAAGGATTTTTTCGTTTGCTTATTTGAGAATTGCTTCATCAGAAAAATGACGTCAGAGTAAAAACAAAACAAAATTAAAAAGATAGTTCATTCAGTGCATTATATTTTGCAATTGTGAATAGTTACAAAATAAATAAGGATTATAATTTAATAGTATTTATTAGTTATCTTAAAGGACCAAATAGCTTTGGGTTCAATTGAGGCTTTTTATATCAAGTGGGTTTGTAAGTTACTGCCGTTCAAGCTATATTTTTAGTACTGTCTGCTGTAATTATATCTGCTTGTTGCAAATAACAAAAAAAATGGTTTCTATGTCAGAGGATTGCGCATCTCAATAAAAAAAAATTATGCGTCGTGATTCCTTTGAAGTTTATTTAAGCAAAGTTTGTAGATAGACAAAGTAGTAAGGAGAGACAGACGGCAACATTTTCACGACGCTCGGCTTAAAAGAAATTCCCTTATTTATTCATCTGACTTTCTCACCAAGCTACGTGACGCTTACACTTTCCTCCTCACTTTCTCCCTTCACTCTTCTTTCTCTCACACACACACGAAGAAATCACATTTCTTTTCATCTTAACAAGCAACTGTAAGAACTTTAACAATCACACACAATTTAGTTGAAAAAAAAAAAAATGAAAAGAATCTTATATTTTTATATTTAAACATCTTTTTCGCCTTTTTCTTTGCTTAGAAAATCACCATCTCTTCTTCAGTAGTAGAAGTACGAGAGCGTTCCGACGTGGTGTATGGGTTAGCAAGCCTGTCTCGCTAGATCACTTACGATTGAGTAGCAAGTTCGATCCTCACTGAGTGCTCGATTCTTTCCTTGTGCCACATCTAAGTGACGCTTGGTAAATCATTTAGGCACTTCGACGCGATGTAAGGGTCACGAAGCTTGTCTAATTACGACTGATTCGTGATTTCGATCCTCACTTTGTGCTCCACGCGGTGAGCCTTGTGCCACATCTACGCTACGTTTATTAAATAGCTGGTAGAAGGATTCTACGCAAATATCTGTGCGCTCATGTTTTAATGAATCAAGACTTATTTCAACATGGCTGCTTAAAACTTATTTTCTATGTTTTAAAAATCTTAGTTCATAAAACTACCACGAAACATATTTTCAGACATTTTCTTTTATTCTTTTATTAATATCCTATTTAGACAAACTATAAATTTGTATAAGTAAAAGACAAATGCTGGAGAACTTTTTTTTTACTTCAAAGTTACCGTTAGTTTTTATTACATTCAGACATAGTTTCTAAAGTTTACAAATTTATTTATCAAATATTGCTTAATTTTTCTTGCAGTAATGCTACAGCAAACTCTGGCCACGACTCCTAACTATGAAATTAAGCAGAAAATACATTTATTACGAACATGTTTAGGCTTTAAGCCATTTACAAATATGAATCAAAGACCAGAAATAACAAAGCAGTGGAAGCCATACCTGAAGTTGGCAAAACTTCTTACATCAATGACGAGGTTTGATTAAAGAGAGACCAAAGCAAACCTTTTGGCATCGTAACAAATTAATCATATCAACAAGAATTCAAAGGAAAACTATAGAATAATCAATAGGAAATTTTGTGCTAGCAATGCAAAACTAAACGTTTACATGAACACAACAATATTGATGTCTTTGTACTATAAAAATTACACAAAGAAACAAACACTTTCTGCACCTCCCTACTATCCAGAGTGAAGCTATTTCCAACAGTGAAATGTTCGAATAGAACTTTTTTGATAAGTCTTGCTTCTGAGCCTGATTGTGGCGACAGAACGTCTGGTTCAAGGCAATAAAATTAATTGGTTGTTTGTTTTTTTACAGCTTTATTTAAAGCCGAAATATGGTTTATATTTAGATTGTGAGAATAATTCTTTTTTCACTCGCGAATATTGCATTAACAATTTTTTTTTTATCGCAAATAACAATGGTTTTTCCAGATATAAATCTGGTAGGAGAAGTATATTTTCGCGTAAGTGAATATAATGAAGCACGTTAATGAAAATAAGAATGTTTGGGAAAAGGGTATTAAAAAAATAATTCGTTCTCAATATTATTTTCAACCAATCAAACAACAGACATTGGAACCTGAGAAAATTTTGTAATATAGTTTACTAAGCTGGACGAATCAGTTAAAATGGAAGACGTCAACCAGTTTAACTACTATTCGTCACAATTGTATTCATGGACCTAGTTAGATGAAAGTCAGCAGAGCAAGTAACCTTCGCAGTGATATGACAACATTGCATTCTGAGATCTCAAAGTTCTCTGGGGTAACATACAAAAAATTAAAACAGGTAATACTGAAGTTATTTGTCTAAAACAAACACAACCAGCCAAAATTTTCATTAATAATATGAAGTCAATTTACTCTCTTCAGTTGATATTTTGTGTCTACAGGAACAATAGTACTACAAATATGCTTCTGAGACATTTTTGAATGACAAATTCTATATGACGCTCTGATGCTACACATTTCCCGCAAAAATGTTTTTAATTTTGAGTTGATACAACCAAGTACATTTTTAAAGTAGCCACTAACCAAACAAGAAAAACTATCATTTAAATTTTCTTTGGATATATCAGAAATATCGTAGTGGCCTAAACATTATATGTAGATTGATTCTATAAGTTGTAATATAGAGTAACCAACCAGATGCTCGTATGGAATTGTTAAAAGTCTCATTTGTTCTGTCATTCCACATGTACGAAGCAACATAGTATTTATTATTTAAACCAGTTTTAACCTGTGGAAATTTCATAATTTTTTTAATCCCATCTTAATTTTCAGTTAATGATTGAATAAGCTCACGGTGAGTTCTATGACAATAAAATATCCTTAGAATTTCCTCCTATCGCAGCGTTAAAGATTTGAGCTTAATAACCTTAAGAAAATATTGCAATAACAATCATAAATATGAATGCTGGTCGTTATTTTAAGAAGTGGGTACAAATGAAAAGATTTGAAACTGACAGTTTTTCAATTTCATTCAAACAGCCGTTAAACACTTCTTTCTTTCTTTCTTTCTTTCTTTCTTTCTTTCTTTCTTTCTTTCTTTCTTTCAATTTCGTACTGAAACCAATTACTGTTCATTCACCTCCTTCCATGCAATCAAAATTGAATAGTCCATCATTTATGAAGTATCAACAGGAGACGTTAAACTTACTTTCTTTCTTTCTTTCTTTCTTTCTTTCTTTCTTTCTTTCTCCGAAACCTAGTGTCTTTTCTGCTCTTTCCACGCGATTAAAATGGAGTATTCTATTATTCATGAGGTATTGGCAGAGTGTAACAGTCTTGCGAACTAACAAATGGAGGGACAATCAAAATTTTAATGGAAAGTGTGGAGGCTTTACTATGTTTGCAACTTTTAACTTATAATAAACACATGATGTCAAACATCATCCAGTCACTGAATGATGAATTCATTGTTTGTGGTTAATGATTGGTCAAATCAGTCAGTCAATAAATCATACATATTGATTATCCAGATATTTTATTGATTGATTAGATCATTTACATTATATATTAATATTGTTATCATCTTTGTCTCTAGGCTTGTTGGTTATCTGTCCTGCTCAAAGAACCAGAAAGAGACTGGAATACCCAGAAAAGACAGACACAAAATAAGCTCTACCGTATTTGCGTGTTCGCTGCAAACTTCTACTGGTAATATTACTATTGCTGCTTTTCATTTAACGTATGAATTACGTAAGTGGTCCCGCCAGTTATCTGGGTATGTTACTAGTTAATAGTGATGAATAATGTAACGACGTCAATCTTTCAAAGATTATGGCTAACGTTTGCTACCACTTGTTATATATAACTGCTCGACAGGTACGTCCTTCTCCCGCTAAGGGCGGACCAGAACTCTTTCCGATCCCAAGCAAACGATTACAAAAATAAAACATAGTGATTATCATACAAGCTACGTATAGGTACTGGTATCCAAGTGGAGGAATTTCACATTTAAAGAATTTTTGCTGATTGATTAATTGATTCGATTTTTTTTACGTATTATCAACCCTTTGTAGGTTATTTAAAGCCGAAACATATTTTGGATTGTAAGAATAATTGTTTTATATTTTTGAGAGTGAATATTGCATTAAACTATTTTGAGAATAACAATAGATTTTTTTTTCCGGATATAAGTCCTATAATTTAGCATGAGGAGATGGATTCATATCTTTCCCAAGGTTATTTGCGCGTAAGTAAATGCCACGAACTCGACTGGAATTGAAACGAGGCTCTGCGATTTTTCATTCCGAGTCGCTTATCCATTACACCACCCTCACACCGTCACATCTAAGGAGAGGAATTTTGGTCAGCGGAGAATTGGACATTAAATGGAAGTTTTATGATCCATTGAAAGGAGGATATATTTTTTCATTTGACTTGTTCATAAACCAATCTATTATTTCAGTAATTATCACTGGAAAAGTATAATGGCGGTTGGGAATTACAAGATTTCAATTTAAAATCGGGAATGAACGTAATTTGGACTCTAAGAACCATTGCTATAAATTGATACGGTTCTTTTTAGATATTTATATTTTTAACTATTTATACAGACTAGAAGTTTTTGAAACACGTTGTTGAAATCTCCACGCATCGTATTTAGTATTGTTGAAGTTATCGCTGACGTTTCGTCCAATTTCGCAAATCAATCAATGAAATTTGAATAAGCTGACTTGTTTAAAAAAATACTTTGACAAAAAATCTACTTCGTGGTTTAATAATTTCTTTAATTTAACGTCATATTTTACTTGATGGTAAACAATATTTTTCAAGAATATTTTTTTCCTTTTTAACAAAATTTATTCTTAGCATTTCTTACTCTTGAGCATGCAACATACAACTGGCCATATGTAAATATTTCTTTTTGGAGCCAAATTCCAACTTTCTGAAGGGCGAACTGGAAACTGGATTCTTGTATATATAAACTTAACGGAAAGATATGCAACAACAACAAAAATATTGCATTTTTATAAAATAAGTATTTGTGATTTTAATTGTTGTAGGTTCTTTTTT